TGCTAGCACGCGGGATGCTGGTTATTTGAATGGCTTTTGTTATTTATAGGCGGACTTTGACATTGTTGGAGCCGATAGCATTGACGGAGGCAGAGATCATTAAGGTAAGCTCTTCATGGTTGCATCAGTGCCTGGACAGTAGTTTTGAGTAGAGCGAAACCATTCTCCTATGACCACCGTATTAGGTTAGTTTCTTATATGACTTTTAGAATCTTCAGTTTGATAATAGAAATTTAGCATCTTTGGAACTTCAATAGTCAATGCCATAGGATTATCTTATGAGCTGTCAATTATTCATGCATTGGATAACTTAATGTGATTTTTAAAAATACAGTAAAGATTGCTGACTTTGTCTCTTTCAGTCCACCTTAACCCTAGTCCACCACCAGAGCACAATTTTATTTTCTTTTAATACAACTTTAGAATCTTAGAAACTTAGTTTGCTGCATACTTCAAACATGCATGCAGCTAGAAATATCCTGTAGGGTTCCAATTTATGTATCAAATTGTTTGGATTGCATGGATAACTTATTCAACCCTTAAATAGATTTTAAGATTTTTCCTTTGACCTCACAAACTTTACTGGTTTTTACTGCTACTTTCTTCCATCCACACTTCTTCTCTTCTCACACACTTGCATTATCTCTCTCTCTCTTCTCTCTTCTCTCTCAGACACCTACCAGCACTTTGCCTTCCTTTTCCATGTACAAACACATACTTTCTCCCATACACTTGCTATTTCTCGCACTTATTTTCACCTACTTTTGTCATAGCACGATCTATTAGAGATGTTTCACTTAAGTATATTCAGCCTTCAGATTCTATACTTAGTTTCATCAAGCAGGACTCTCTGCCTCTTTTGTTCTTTTTTGTCATGTTATTTATATGGCATACGTGTTGCTTCAATTTTCTAGAAGTGTATGGAAGGGATTAAATTGTGCTCTGGAGTTGAATCTTATTAGGGAATTGCTGTGATCTCCTCTCCTCTTTTTGCCTCTTAATTCTTATGTCTTCCTATCTTGTGTCCTCAATTGTCCTAAGATTATAACTAAGAATCTGAATGTTTATCTAACTCACACTTTCTTCTTGGTGCTGCATTAATATGTTGAGACATTGAAAGTATCATCCTTCTCTGTTTTTATCTTTGGAAGTGTTTTTCTTTAAAAGTTGTACCTTTTCTTTTCTTCATAGGTAATCTTTCGAATTTTGCTGGGTCATCTTTTAAATGAAGCCACATCAACTATAATCAATTAGGAAGGAAAGTTTATGTCTATTGAGCCTTAAAAAGAAAACTGGAAGGACAATGAGAATTTCGATCAGAAAGTAAAATGGAGCCTGCTTACAAAAACTAATTTAAAGAATTATCCTCATATAAACATGTTGCTCTAAGAGGAGTCTTTATAAGGCATTTAGCATGATCATATTCTCTTTCATTAGTGTTTTTGTTGAAGTCTGTCTTATAATTGCCACAATCCCATTTTTAAGATTCCATCATTTTTCCAATCTTTAGGCCTCGATGGACATTATTGGTCAGTTTTTTCATTCAGAATTATGTGATATTCATTTGAACCATGGAGATCTATTAGAAGCAATTTGGTCTTGGGCCGGAATCGAGCCGCGGAGCATAGACAGAAAGTGGCTGAGGTATTGGTCTTAAGTAGCCTTTATTAGACTTTCATCATTTGGCTTCTGCATAATGTTGGATATGCAATATTCTTATTATGCCTACTTTTTTCAATGTGAAGCTTCTCTCTCTATTAGGATCTTTGCGCCCTCAATCTTCTGAAAGAAAATCTAAATGGGTGGTGATAAGACGACAGCTTCAACAGGTATTGGAAACGTTCTGGACCTCATTTTCCCCAAGTTATTTCACAATTCAAATAGAATATCGTTTTCTGCGGTTTTTTTTTGGCTCAAGGAAACTAAATTTATGTGTTACTGAAAGAAAAAATCTTTAGTTAATGAAAACTAACTCGAGAAAAAATGATATTTTTTTTAACAGTAACAGATGTATCAGTAAGTGAAGTTTCAAATGAAGGGTTTCACCTATCTAACTGACATGTAAATAAACTGAGGATTAAGTAATTGTGTATATGTGTATACTCAGATTATGGTAGGTTTAGGCATGTTTTGGGTCTTGATGAGGATCTAGGCCTTGATTGTAGACATACCCCAAGTTCTCCTTGAGGGTCATTCTTAAATTTAGACCAGACCAGCAAATTCTCATGGATCTGGATATCAAACTACAGGCTATCATGCCTGTCTGTGGTTTTAGCTTTATAAGGGTGCAAACATGCTGCTTTTTCTATCTTGAAGAAATTGTTTTGCTGTAATATGTACAGGCAGGATACAGACAAGAATCATTCTCCACTACTTAGCTTGAACTAGTTTCTCACTAGCCTTCTTTCCAGGAACTTAATCTTGCTGAAGCTGTTGTAAATAGATTGCAGACTGTTGGACTTAGATTCTGCGGACTTGTAGATCAGGCTCTTCCCAGGTTAAGAGGCGCCCTTCCTGCTGGTATGTTGTTTGTGATTCCTATGCTGTAATAACTTTGGATTATATAAGTCCTATCATTTATTCCAGTTGTTTACCTGTTGCAGGTAAGTCCACAAGGAAGGCCCTCGATGAGTTGTCAGAGCTTTATAACTATTTAAGGGTTTGGAGGCTTGATAGACATATCTTTGTGGATGCACTTATGCCTCCAACTGAGAATTATCACAGAAATATTTTTTTTCAGGTACTCAAATCATGCATGTCTCAGATACGGTTTATTAGGCCTTGTTTGGTTGACCAAGGAATATGGCTTAGGAGAGTAATCGAATACTTGACTAGACATTTCACTGTTGGGTAAATAGGTGAGTTTAAGAAAAGTAATTATTCTTAAAACATAGAACTTTATGTCAAAATCTAGGATTGTGGATTTTTTTCCTTTTGTGGTAATGGTGGGATTTGACTAGAATACTGGTACATCCTGTTGGACTCAAATGGAGGTTCTGGAGGTTCTGGCCAAGTTGTACTCCTTTGTGGGAAGTCTCAAACTGCTTTATTAGTTGCATAGCCAATTTAAACATAACCTCTTTCTGTATTCTGAAGTTACATCAGTCAGCATTAATTTCCCAGCAGCTGTGTCAAACTAACGACAACAAATTCACATTTACCATCAACAAATTTGGTTATTCAACATTTGTCCTTGGTGTGCCAACATGAAAACCTTCATCATCTTGTGTTTAATCATTTGGAAAGAATGAACCTGCATGCTGAAAACATGACAACTGATTATCACATTCTTTCCTGGATTTCGATTTTGTAATTAGAAAATCATGGTTCTTTTGAGTTATAAGAGAAATATGAAAAAAATTGAAGAAATAGAAGAAAGAAAGTTGTATCATATTTTTTATTTCTCAAAGGCTATTGTGGAAGTTTAAATTTGTGTAGGACAAAAGTAAGTGGATACAAATTTTATTCTTAGAATGTTACATGTTGAATGGTGTTGTTATAACTCAATGCTGTTGTTGAAATATCTATTATGTTAATAATCAATGGATACCTAATTGATTTTATTAGAAACTCTATTTGCTAAATTGCTACATGTTGCATCTTGACAATGACCCAAAAACACAAATGCAATGGATTGAAATAAAGAATACATCTGTTATGTAATCGAATTACAATTGTCAATAGATCAATAAACTCTTTTTTTTAATGGCAAAAGAGAGTTCATGCAAGAGTAAATTCATTATTACTCATGAACAGGGAGTTCACAATGCGCTTTCATTGAAAAATTATATCATCTTTGGAAATAAATTTAGTTTTTCATACATAGCTGACAGTGGAGCAATTTTGATGATGCTTGCACTTGGGAAGAATCACCAAACAACTGGACAAAATCAAAATTTTCTTTCCTGAGGAGAATGTTAGGACCTTCATATACACTTTTGTAGTGATGTAGGACGCCCGTCCGATATAATTCCCAAGTTCTTGGATTCATGCTACCTATTTTACATCCATCTTGGCCCCTTTGTCATCAGTGATTCAACCTAGAATCCTGAAGTTAGTTCAACGCATTACTTTTAATTAATGATGAAACACTGAATCAGGCATAATCTGAATGTTTACAATTGTCAGTCTTTTGATTTTTTTTTGAAGGAAAACAGCATTATGTGATTGGCAAGACTAGCATTTTTTTTTTGGGAAATTTATAGTGGAATAGAATCAACGGGAAATGGTCAAAAACCATTTTGATTTGAGAAAAAATGGAGCTAGATCCAAATTTTAATCGTGGTATTGATTTATTGAATCTGCTATTATGCTTATTCAAGATGTCAGCAAGACCAAAGCATATCCTTACACTATGCACCTTCAATTCAAAGACCATTTGGTTTGAGAAAAAATGGAGCTAGATCCAATTTTTAATACGTGGTATTGATTTATTGAATCTGCTATAATACTTATTCAAGATGTCAGCAAGACAAAAGCATATCCTTACAGTATGCACCTTGGTAGGATTCAAGATGCTAACCGCACCGCACCTAGCCACTGACCTGTGCTTTGACTTCGATCTTGTCCCAGATATAGTTATGTTTTGGTCTGGTCTGAGTGGCTACCCTGGGTGGAGAAATAAGAGCTCTGTAGATTATGATATGCATATCATATTGCATTCTTCATGTTTAGTCTGACATGTCAAGCCTGTGCAAACAACTGCTTACATGCTTCAAAATGACATACATTTCAAGTGCAGTATTTTTTTTTTTAACAAGGAGTATTTTATGTTAAGAAAACCTTGAATGCTTTTTATTCAGGTTTTAGTTTCCATCCTCTGTTTTTGCCTAACCTCTATGAACATATCAACATTTTGAATTTACTGAGGATGTGAAGCATTTTCTATGGAAGGTCCAAAAGACTAGCAATCATTTTCATGTTGCAGATATATATGAGGAAGAGTCTTGGATCTTTAGTGGAAGGAACCTTGCTTGCTGTCGGTGGTCGTTATGATTACTTGCTTCATCATACAGGCGATTTTGAATATGTATGTGACTTATTTTGCTTTGTTGTTCCTTATTTCATCTTTGTAATTGTTAAGTGATCAGGGACACTTGCAATAAAGTTTTACTTTGCTTATGCTTTCAGATAGATTTCACTATGGACTTATAACAATTTTTTTTTTGAGTTATGGACTTCTAATTTGCTTGAGCAAAATTATATTGGTGATGTTTTAGGTGGTGCTTGACATAGTTTTCTGATGCATATTGTGATATCTTCATATATCTTGTACGCCTCCCCTCTCTGGTAAGCAAAATTGGAGTTATAGGCTGCAAAATTCTGAGCAGTGAATGTTACAAGAAAGCTCATTGGGTGGTCCTTGATTCATCAAAGTGCTGTTAGTATCCTTTGGTCAGTATTTTAAAACTCGAATTAGACAGGCCACTTGGACCAATTTAACCTGGAACCTGTTGACCGTTCGGTCTAAGTATGCACCAAAAAATGTTTGGCAAGAAACCAGTAATCGGGGAAGCGTGGAAATTGGATATAACTGAGTTTTCTGGTTTTCTTTTCTCTTCTAAATTTGATGTCTCTTTTTGTGAGATTCTGTGGCTGATGCCTGTTGCCTTTTGAAACTTGGAATGCCTGAAATCAAAAAGGAGAAGAGAAAGGAAAAGCAGTATTAGTCAGGAAGATAATAGGAAGACACTAAAGAAAAACAGACAATGTTTTGTGTGTGTCTTGCATGAGGAAAGAAAACAGTGATCGGAGAAAAGGAGAGAAATTGAAGAACAAGCAACTGGAGTGGAGAAGAAATAGACGATAGGAAAAAAGGAAATTTTGTCCAGAGAAGAGGAGAAGAAATAGAAGAAGCGACTGATTTTGGTTGTTTGATAGCTGTGACACTCCAAACTTTTCTGATATTGTATAATGATCCTTAGAATTTTTCAAAACTGTAAATCCAACCATGATTGTTTTCTAATTTAATGGCATGCCTAATTTCTGCAGTCTAAAAGCACACATCATCTATGTATAGAGACCTCTTTTGAATGGTTTTTGGGTACTGGTCTCTTACCCTGCTTCTTTACCTTGTTGGGTTTGCCTGTGGTCCAAGTATTAAATACTGCCTTTGGTGGTCATTTTGCAAATAGTTGCCTATCTTCTCTGCATCTTCTTACATCATTTCAAAAAAGCATGAACCATCTCTCTAACTATGTTCTGCCTGAACAATTTTTCCATGTCTACAAGAGTTGTTGAAGTTCTACTTTTCGCAAGTTCATGAAAATACAAATATCACAATTCCCTCCTGCCAGTTTCTAAAGCGAAGTGAAAGGGAATGGAAAAGATCTCCAGATTTTATTATTGCTAAATAATTGGTGGAAGAACCTAAGTATGAGACCATATATGTATTTGTTCCGATTGGGAATGATGTTAAGATTTTTCTGCCTTCGAAATCAGATTGAGGGTCTCAGATGAATATGTTGTATCCTACCTTTGGAAATGAGGGACTGGATATTATGTATATTACACGCCAGTCTCTTGCCATCTCTCTGTTTGTCCTTCATTCATTAGCCAATGCTGACTAGTCATCATTCGCTGGCAATTCCTTTTTTGACTATGGGATCCAGAAATGGATATTTATAGGATGTTTTCAGACAGGTTTTTCTAGTCTCAGTTGGAGGTTTGAGTAATTAAGGTTTACACTTGGGAGAGCAGCTGGAGGTTGTTACTCATTTGGGAGTCATACCGGTAAACCTGTTGTTGTTTCCCTAGCTATGCAACTCACCATTTTCTAGTGAATGAATGTCTCAAATGTTTGTAGGGTAGCATGAATTTCACGCCGTTGGCATGTGCAAATGTTAGTCATGTTGACAGATGTGACACTGAGGCGTTTAAATTGATACTGGACTTTGTTGCTATAGACAATTCTGCAAGAAAAGTAAAACAATTGAATGACAATCATGGTGCATATTGTGTCTTAATCACATAAAGAGGGTCTCGCCTTTTTGAATACTAATTAATCTTTGTATGAAATCCCTGTTCTGTGACTGAGACGATTGAATGAATTGTGGGACACATCTCATGGTCAGGAGACTGGACATGGACTATGAAAATTACCAGTGAAATCAGTTGAGATGTTGTAAGGAAGTGCAAGTCTAGACAAGGTTTCGTCTCTCAGATTTGGTACCTAAAACATCTCATAGAAAGAATATTCTTGCATATGTTTCTTGGAGGTGTCAAACTACTTAGTGTGTTAAAATCTTTGGGAATAAGTATGACACACAAATAATGTTACAGGTAGAGCTAGACAAAGTCACAGGTTTTCTTGTATTTCCTTGATTCTTCTCTTCCTGAACGATCATATTCTAGCATTGTGATTAGGCTATAAACCTTCTTTTCTATTTAAAGCTTTTTTTTTGGGGGTTAAATTGACCTTTTGTTTTTCTTTTTTCTTTGGTTAAACCAATTTCAAGGCTAACACTTTAAGACGTGAGATTAAACTTTTTAAGTGAAGGAATAGATTTTAGAGATGATTGGTCACGGCTAAGGAGATCTTGTCAGTTCCTGCTCGGGTTCTGTCAAAATTTGATCTTGGGATTTAGCAGCAAGGATAAAAATTTGATAGCAATGTGCTTGGTTTGGTACATCTTTTGGATTTATATTGGCTGCTGTGTCTTTTAGAGATTTTATTTTCCTCCATTGTCCTAGGATTTGATGTGTGGTATTTTTCAGAGAATTACAAGACAGATGTCCAAAGAGATTGAAATGGGATTATTTCATTCCCTTTACCTTTTAGTTTAGTAATTAGAGAAATTTTTCTTGCTTATGCCATCTGTTTACTGCATCAGCATCTATAAATTGTCACCAGAAAGTAATTGTGTGTAAATTATGTTGGGAGATAAAGTTAAAGAATATAGAAATTTTGATCTGTGAAAAGTGATCGATAATCAGGAAATGGAGTATGGTTCAGAAGTGCTTATTGTACTTTTGCTGAGGAAGATTTTTCTGATCAATTAGTGGTGTTGCGTGTAGTTTTTTACCAGACCATCTGTTCTACCTGATAAGGTGAAATTGTTAGGCTTTCATAGGTAACCTGATTGATTCTCACAAGTACATTGGTTTCCTTTAAAATTATGGTAACATATATTTTGTGCAAAAATATTTCAATGGCCAAATTGATTTTACTATTACATAATGCTAGTCTGTGTGGTAATCTAAATTCCAGTCGCTAAGATTAGTGAAAGGGCTTCTGGGAGTTTGTCTTTCTTTTCCTGTCTGTATCAGAGTATACATTCAAGATCGGATAAGATGCATAAGTTGATTTCTGTTGATTAGTGTGGTGTATGTCATTTGGCTTATGCTTTTCATTTTTATCACAAAGATCAAATAATTGTAATAATCGTAAAATATGTTTGCCATTATTGATAGAGATATGTTACTACACTTCAAATACAATATTTTGTAGTCTGTTTTGTGTTTTTGACTTTCTGTCTCAATGTTCCCAGAAATCAAATCCTCCAGGTGCAGTTGGGACTAGTCTTGCTTTGGAGACAATTTTGTCGCATAGTACTATGATGGATACGAAAATTTATAGGTAGTGTTTTGCTCTCTTCTTCTTAGTGGGATTTGAGAAAATTGACCATGATATTTGATGATTAACAAAATCACTATTTATCTCCAACCCTTGTCATTTTCTCCTTCTCATTTAACTTCCCAAAATGTTGAACACTAGAAATACCTGAATATAAGATTGATTTCTTTAGCTCAAATGCACGTCTATCTTATTAAGAGGTAATGTAGAATGTTCTATAAGTTTCAATGCTAGTTTTGTTGACTCCAAGTAGATAATTGTAATATACTTCATCATCTAAAGTTCTCTAATGGAGTTGGAAGCTGAAAGATGGACAAGAGGGAGTAAATAACTGGTTTCTGTTTCTACTAATTATCTGATGTTGATCTACCAAATTTTGCAGACATGATGTTGGTATCGAGGTTCTTGTTTGCTCAAGAGGAGGAGGTGGTTTACTAGTAGAGCGCATGGAACTAGTGGCTGAGCTATGGCAGCAGAATATCAAGGTCAGTAATGAGATTTATTAGAAGAATTGTGCTTTGAATCTAAGAATCTGAAACAGGCTTCAAAAATACTTGTACATCAGACTCAGTTCGTCCCCATATGTGATCCAAGCCTCACAGAACAGTATGAATATGCCAACGAGCATGATATCAAATGTCTTGTGATCATCACTGACAGTGGTGTATCCCAAACAGATTCAGTTAAGGTAGGACAACTTATCTACTTGGTTAACTTGATCCTTTCCCATAGTCGGTACAAACTTTGAGAAGTAATCACAATTAGCTGGATTTTTTAACTTGTAATGGAAAGTAGCCATCTTTGTTGTGGGTTTCCAGTGGTGTTATTATTTCTTAGTTTCACACAATCTTAACATTGACATACTGCACTGTTATTTAAGCTCGTTTAGTGTGCTACAATACCTCCACTGGAATAAAATACTGACTAGGAAATGCCCAAACTAAGACTACCAGATTCCTTAAAAGAATAGTTGGAGTTAAAAGCTTTTCTGAGATTATGTTTACCATTTTAAATCAACTATGTGTATCTATTATGGGTAAGTATTAGCCATTTAGAGCTTTTGTGTTACAACTTTTGACTCCTTTAGCAGCACCCATGCGCCATAATCTAGAGCCCGCATTCAAATGCTTTATTCCAGGAGAAGAGCACCTCATATATATATATATATATATATATATTTTTTTTTTCCAGTTTGGATTGTCCTTTAAAAGTTGCTTAGCGTTTGGTTCTGTTACTAGGTTCGGCATCTTGAGCTGAAGAAGGAGAAGGAAGTTCCGAGAGAAGAACTTGTCAAGTTTCTCTCTGAGGCAATGGCAACTCAATTTAAAAACCCATCCATCTGGAACTAGAACAGATTACTTGAACGCATTGCTACCAGGTTTTTAAAGCCACTTCATATTGTTCGTAGTTCTTTCGTACAAAAAGTTTGCAAGATGTTTGCCATTATTTTAGAAACCTAAGTTCCTGCAGCATAACATTTCAAGCCATGTGTTTGTTACTCCATGTTGTTCCTGGGAAAGCTGTCTATCATAGGTTAAAATAAGGGCATGGAGAAGGGAGAAAAAGAAAATAAAAAGAAAGAAGAAATGGCCTTTCTGACATGTTAGTTTACGTTTGAACATCTAGTGATTTCCCAAATCCTATTGGAGCTTTTGCTTGCTTTTTTACAAACTTTAAAGCGTTTCAGTTTCAATATCGTCACATAACCTTTTTTTTTGCACAATAGAACTGAGAATAGGAGCACACCTTCATTAATGCATATGAATGAAAAATTCAATTGAACAGTCTTTCTGAAAGGAATCGTATTTATTCTATACTTTAATAGTATTGATGGCTTACAGAGTTTTTCAAAAAGTAGATGCCTTGAACAATTCCACTGAGAGATACTGCATAGTTCATGTACCAATACATTTGTATATATCTTCTTTCTTAATATTCCTTTTTTTCCCCTGTTTATACACATCAAAAACCGCTTAATAAACCAATAGAAGATAGAACTCTTAGAAAATTTCATTCAGACCCAAGAATTCCAATTGGACCGTTTAATGTGGAAGGATGGGAATAATTTACTGATATTTAATCTGGACTGTTCCATTCTCATCTCATTTGCTGTTTTAGAAGTCAATGCATTGTATTTTTAAGTTTTAACTCTAATTAGATCTGCATTTCAGTCAAAATGAACAAGGCGATAGAACATCTTCTAGCAGATTGGGAATCTATCATTGTACGTCAGGTTAACTGGGTATGTTTATTTCCACTAGGATGAGGTGAAAGATTCACACATGTAGTAGATGGAGTTCCTACATCATGCTGAGAGGGGGGACAAGTGATAGTGGAGAATTCCTTTGAAAATTCACATTTAGTTCCATTTATGAATCAAATCTCATTTTTGGAATTGAGCTCTGAACTTGTGCGAATTTTTTTCCTTTCAGAATTAAAAGAGTTTCAGATGCCAAATATTTTTATGTTGCACGTTCGATGATCACTTGAATCATACTTTGTCACGTCCCATGGTCAGAAGTTTCCATCAAAGGATTTAGTGTGCTTTTTTCGGAAATTTGATTTTGTGATTGTGGACTAACCCAATCCCTCGCTTTTATGTGCAGACTTGTATCTCTGTTTCTTCTCCATGGAAACATCATTATTGTTTGTTTGAGGAAAGATAAACAGACATCGCTAACATTATTAGCAAAAAATTTTAATTAATGTACAAAAAGGTAGATCTCCTTGAGTACGAAATTCATCTCTTTTTTTGTCTGTTTTGTTACAGAGTACTGTTTCATATACAGAACAGTAGAAAGTTAAAGTCATCAGAGAAGGGAAAGAAAATCAGAAAACAATTTTCTGCCCTCAGTTTTGCTTATATAGAGAATATTTAGTTTCTTTAGCTGTACAGTATTGTTCAAGGCGTTTAGACGATAGTTTCGCCCAATGAAAATGAAGAGACCGGCAAAGTTTTTGTTCGCAAGACAGAGAGGCATGTTTCCTTGTATATCAAATTTTGTTTCTAATCTTCTTGAAGTCCAAACTGCTTAAGCCATTTGGATTGTAATTCTAAAACATACTGTCATTTTGCTGTTTCCTAATGTGTGTGTCTAATCAGTCATCGACTACAAGGTTCACATCTTCATATTTCTGAGTTTCTGTTTCTTTTTTACCTTTGGAGCTTTAATGCTGTATTTTCTTCGGTTTCTGTTCTTTTTGTGCTTCTGTGTCTAGAATGCCAGTATACTATCTATAGAAGAATCCTTACATGCAACATTAGAAGAGAACTTGTTCCATTAAATTGTCCATGGATCTGAGAGGGTGGTTTGCAGGAAAGAAATGGCGAGGAACATGAACTGGGCAAAAAGGAGTGAGAACTGTAATACTCCCAAGTTTCAAGATAGTGGTTGACCATGAGGAAGATCAAATTGACATAGATGAAGAATAGAATAACCAAATCTTCCCTTCATAAACTTTTGAGTCAATGATCACTTTAGCAGGAGTCTTAAACAAAAGTCCAAATCAGCATTCAGCAACAAAGTGATCTCAGCAATGTTGTTTTGGTCTCTAATTTTTTGGTTTATTTGTAAATTTTGTTCCTAATATTTTGACAAGGAAAAATGTGATCCTCAAAAATTTGTGATTTTAGGCAATTTAAAACAATTAATAGAAAATATTAATTAGCTTCACATTGGCACAAAAGTGTTATTTAGCTGAAGAACTTCTCTTTATTAAATTAGTCACAATTGAACAACAAAACATATATAATACATAAAACATAAATTAGTGGAAGAAGTTGAAAATTCTAGTTTCATGATATGACTTGATCGTAGCTCCAATTAGATAAATTTTTGCATGACTTATCGAGGTAAGCTTTAAATGGCTATAGCTGGGAGTTGTAATTAGTGATTACAATTAGTGCAAGTAAGTACCAATATAAAGTGCTTTTAAGAATATTTGAAAAAACTTCCTTTTGGATTTGTTGTCTTCCCTTCTTATTCAAAATTTCAAATCTAATGTTCCAATAGTAAAGATTTATAGGTTTAATTTTAATGTTCTGTACAATGATAATTTTATTGAATAATTCAAATAATTTTGTAAGTGAATGTTTAATTTGAAACTTAGTTGACAACCCATTGAAATGCCAAAACAAAAAGAAAATGGATGACACATAAATTACATATTGTATATATTTCTTATATTTATAACGATATTTAATTGAGCATTTGATTGTAATGAAAGAATGATGTATAACTCTTTTTTAATACAATATTCATAGTGCAAAATAGCACATACATATATTATGCCAAATTTGGGATCAACTATGCAAACGAAATGAAAAAAAAGAGGACTAATTAGTGGCATGAATAAATGAAATGAAAAAGAGAAAAAAATAAAAAAGAAGTATTATTAACTTTTTCATGTTTTTTATTATTGGAATTTCTGGCACACATTTGAAAAATATTTTGATTTAATTTTCCCATTTCATCCTAAAACCCAAAATATCACTTTCTGTAACTTAGGGCCTTAGGGGCTGTATCAATTCAATCTCAAAAAATTAGCGACTGAAAATATAAATATAAAACTATTGACTAACAACAATCTGACTTTAACGCTTAGCCATTATTGAATTTTCATCAATGGTTCTAAATTTTATCTTTGGAATCATATTTGTTTTGGTCAAAATATTCGGGACTAGTTTGCACACAATCTAAACATTAGAGACCAAAATCAGATTTCCTCATTTTTTTTTCTTTACCCTCCCATCTCTCTCCACACCCTTCCCTAATAGCTAGGTAAAGGATTCGAACTCTGAACCTGATAGCGGATAAGACCCTCAGACCCCTCCCTGGCCACCAACAAACCCTAATGATTCCCTCATTTGAAATAGAAATACACAGAGTTACCAAGTGATTTTTGCAAAAATGATGTCCCCATACACTGGCATCCACCTTTAATTCACAAGTCAATCATGATATTCAACTTCTTCAAATGCATTTGCGATCAGCCCCCAATGGTTCCTACAAAAAAAAAAAAAAGAAAAAATGACAGAATAAAGCACACGTTCCAACAAAAACGAAGTTAAGCAACCACTGCATGTGTCCTTATAATTGAAACAATGATGCCAAATTACACAATAATAGTTCATCTAGAACAAAACAAGGAATGATCAAATCGTATTTTACGATACATAAGGAAAGAGCCTAATTGCCCACCAATATTTATTTGTTTATGAATCAAGTCCAACAAATAATTTGTGGGCTTTCTAGTTGCATAACCAGACTAATGTCAGATTGTTCTGCGCAACCAAACTGATTAGCACTTTAAGATTATCACAAGTCAACCATTTACTAAATTATATGACATCAAAATGAGAACCCGAATCAGAATTTGATTCATTTACCTTACTGTCACCAGGCTGACCATGAAATGTTATTCTAATTAGTTTAGAATTTAATTCCTAAGACCAGTAAAGATGGTCCTAACCGTAGGCAACGTACCCAAGTTATACCAAATGTTTGATTACTTGTTGCCTTGACAATAACAATGAGCAGTCTCAAATCCCATATAGAAGCCAAGGATTAAACTTGACAATTAGGAACTTTTTCTTTAGACCAAAATTTCGAAAAGTGGAGGTGCTGGCCGGGGATTTCTAGTTGTTTCGGGTCTGGTGAAAGTCCTGAGGCTTGTAGCATTAGCCCCATGAATTTTAATTATAATAATTTAGAAATTAATAAAATGCTAGAAATATGCAGTATTATTAAAATGGTAAAATATCAACTAGCTATATAACATTAAGCAATAATATGATAATTAAAGTTGAAAACAAACTTGAACTATTTCAGAATGTAGATATCCAAAACATGTTAACGGTAAATTATGATTGCAAGAAGCATGAAACGGTGCTTCTTTAAGTGGGCTTCGAAAATAATATAGTATATATAGGGGGTAATAAACAATGAAGCACTAGAGAGCTCCATTCTATTGTTGGTGAGGTTTATTGATCACTTTTTCTTCTATTCTCCTTGTTCTACTAAACAGGGTTTATGTCAAATCTCAAAATTTTCCAGTTTATATGGGCCATTTAGGCATGCAAGCCCGAGTCTTGGAGGCATCGTTCAGGCAATACCACAACGAAACTACCGCCTCCCTTGATTGCTCTAAGGCGTTTTAAGTGTACATGCCCTAAAGCGAATCCCGATAATGCCTTTTAAAATACTACTTTAGACAATAACGTGGTGACATCTAAATTACTATGTGCATGCTTGATATTTAATCAAGTTCACTAGCTAGTTGATCAAATTCATTAATTTGATCCAATAAGGATTTTATATAAATACCTTTGTGAGTGTCAATAGCTTAATCTCTAAGTGCCGGCAGTACAAGTGATCCTTAAATTTAAGAGTACCACAACATCTTAGTTGGATTACTATATTTTGGCTCTCCTAGTTGTTTCCCATAAATGATCTACTCATATTATTAGAGATTGGGAAGAGTAGTAAGCATGAAAGAATAGCGAGTAATGTATAAGAATATATTATCTTAATAGTAGAGGAGTTATCTTATTCGTGGCTGCTCATTAAAGTATGGTTCAAAGAATCTTAGTGCTAAGTGAAAAGGTTTTGGAAAGTTGTCCTAAGTTTTCTTCATGGGAAAATTTGGCAAAAAAATTGTTATAGTTATATCAGAGTTGGAATGTATTCTAGATTCTAAAGTACTAAGAGATAAGTTTGGTGAGTAATAATAGTTACATGGAAAGATGAAGTCAACTACTTGGCTCTTCTCATCACTTTTTTTTTTTTAATGTAAGCAAGAAGACTCGAACCCGAGACCTCTTGCTTACACTCCCTCCCCCCTTACCACCCAACCCAACCCTCCCCCCACATCACTTGATTGTTGCTAGATAGCAATCTCGATCTATAAGAATGAGTTAGCTGACTATTTCAATTAATGATAAATTAAAAGTATTTAAACTATTTGGCTCTTAATTATTTAAAATTATAACAAATACTTGTTATGTTGTAATCATATATGGGAGTCTAATGGGTCACTCACACTAAGATTTTCATTCATAGGATTAAAAGGAGTTGAAGTAGGGACATGAATATAAGAATGTATTGCCTATAGTTTAATTTGTAAGGAACTTCTATACAATGTTGTTAAAATCGAACCAAATGGTGACTCAGTTAAACTATTCAGTCAGGCGTCAACTAGTCGGATTGGTAGGACCGTTCTAAAAAATACACTAATGTTAGCATGATGTTATAATTATTTTATATTTTTATAAGTTTCAGAAATATTGAAATTAAGTTCTTGGTTATATTTGACCAATCATGAAAAATGTTCCAAAAAATTAGACTTGCAATCAAATATACACCTAATAATTATACATTAAAATGTAAATTTATGGTTAAAATATGTCCATTCTCCAAAACTACTTGAAAAACTAAATTAAAACAAATTAATACAAGTTTGAATCACTGATGCTAAATTAATGAGATCATAGTGATAAAAACATCTTGATTTAGAGATCATTTAGAAAAGCGAGTGATTTTGATATTTACACTAAATAGTTGACATTTTCTTATTCCTATTAATAAATAAAAGTGTTACAATTTAGGTAACTCAAATTATGTTTGGGGAAAAGAAAAAAGAAAAGTTTAAGAATTGGGTCAACCAGTCGTATCGAGTCACTGGTTTAGCCAGTTTTTTATGGTTTTGACTGATTTTTAACTAAAACGATTTTATACTATAAACCAATTCGAAAAGAAGCCGGTTCATAGTCGGACACAGATCGAACGGGCCGGTCCAGTCCGGGTCTAACAACACTACTTCTATGCAAATAAGGTAATCTTCTAAGAAAAGAGTTATCTAGAAGATTTCAAGAGTAGTATAACTTAAATATGAAGGACCTATTGTACAAATATGAAAGTCTTTTAGGATATCTAGAAGATAGGAATCCTACTTCTTAAGGAAACCACTCAAGTGGATCCCATAGGAATTGGATTTATTTATTGCCAATATAAAGACCTCTTAGACCAACTTTGCAAGACATAATTTTCAATTAATTTTTAGAGAGATTTTGTGAAAATCAAGAAAAAAAAACAAGGTGGAGAATTCGGCCAACATAGAGAGAAATTCATCTCTCTCCCTAAGGAAGTCATCTCTCATCCCTCCTATTTCATTAACTTGTGAGCTTTACTCATGGGGAGAGCTAGTATTTATCAAATTTAATGATTTTATGATAATAAAATCTTATGAAGAGGTTGTGTAGATCACCAGCAAATGCTAGATATTTTGATAATTTTAAATGGAAAAGGATTTTGCACCAAAAGTTATGATCTCCATGTAGAAATGCACAAAAAATTGAGATAAATAATATTTTGAATTTCTACTATGCATGTATGTTTCTTTCCTGACAACACTAATATATTAGGACCGTAATTTAGAATAACTAGTGCAAATTCATTTATACAATACTTACAGCAGAACTCAAAAGGTCTACATGAACATTATGTGGTATTGAACTTTCCCTTCAATGGTCAGTTGTAATTATGAAATTTTCACTCTACTTTCATTCCAATGCGTAGTTCTAATTGTGGAGAGATGATAACTAAATGACCGACATGTTATGCTTCAATCATGACCTGAAGGGATGAGGAAAGGTCTTATTTATACTTTATTATTTTACAATAAGATGAAGTACCATGACATTACAACTATAATTGATGATACACGTAAAATCACTCAATAAGCAATGCAATATCTACCCATACTTTATTGAACAAGTTCTCCAGAAATCCGAAGTATGCATAGCGCCATGACTTTTTAAAACATTGGACACTGAAGAATCCCAAGAGTCCAACACCAAAACCAGGTCCCAAACCAGCATAAAACCAATAAAAATAAGACTCCTTGCCATCCTCATGATCACTCGATTCTCCGGCATTTGATTTACCATCAGATTCATCAGGGCAGCTTTTGTCTAGCGGTTCACCACAAAGTCCACTGCTTCCCATGTAAATGGCTGGGTCAGTCCACTGCTTCCCATGTAAATGGCTGGGTCGTCTAATGTCTGCAGATGACGTCCGGATGGAATTCGACCGGTTAGCCTGTTGAACGACAAGTTCAGCCAGCCCAGAGATTTAAGTTCCGACAAACTTTGAGGAATTGGACCAGAAAGGTCATTTTGGATAAATCTAGAGACTCAAGTTGGTTCAAGTTCCCAATGTTTTCTGGGATTCTTCCACTTAGATGGTTTCTAGATAAATCCAAACCCTGCAATCCAACAAGAGACATTAACTCGACAGGTATTTCCCACTTAGTTTATTTCCCGAGAGCCCCATGAATCTAACATATGGCACATTGCTTGATGTGTAGTTCAACATTCCACCTTTGATGAAAAGTGAGAGTTCTTCACTGTCGTCAACTACAAAATAACTTGAATTCAGAAAGTAAATACCTATAGAGTCCAATTCTGTCAATGTCGTTGCTGTAAAGTTGTTAAAACAGCGAGGTATGTGGCCAGTTAAGTTGTTGTCTTTCAAATTTAAAACCTGAAGGGATGCTAATTTGCAGAGGCACATGGAAATGTCACCATGGAAATTATTAGATTCAAGCACAAGGTTCTTCTGTGAGGACTCATGTTTTTATTCTTAAAATAGTTATTTTTATAATTATTTACCATAGTATTAGTTAATTATATTATCGTTATATGAATTTCTTTTAAATTTCGCTTTATCGCGCGTGAATCAAAAGTTCGCGTATTTCGTGTCAAAACGGCTAAGTGGAGATTTGAGAAATTTATACTAAACTACTAAGGGTGAATAATTACAGTGTTCAAGGAGTTACATTGGAGGATTAGTGCAGTAGTGCAATAAACAAGAGAGAAAAGTGGTAGTGCACCTCTCTATTTGAGCACTATTCAAAGTCGACTTATTGCACCTTAAACTTAGCTTCCTTAACACACTTCATCCACCAACATTCAAACCACAAAACACACTCTCTCTCTTCTCCATAGTCTCGGCCGAACACCCAAGGAAAGGGAGAAAGAAAGCTTCACTTCATCTTACTTTATCTTGTTCCATTTCACTTCCAAATTTGCACCCAACTTCAAAATCTCTTGGAGATCAACTTTAGGTTGGAGAAAGACATCATCTTGTGGAATTTCTTGGAGAGTTTTGGTGGAAATTTCTGGTGCCATCTAGGGTTCAAGAGGTAAACTTCAACTCTTGCAATCTCTCCATTTTTCTTCAAGAATCAAGCTTAGATTGCATGGATTTACAACCCTAAGCAAGAAATAGGTAGAGGACTTGAGGAAACCCATTTTATCTTGCTTTAATCTTTAGGCTAGCAGTCTTGAGGTAGATTATAGGTAGCTGACTTGAGGTGTAATTAGTTGATTGTGGTTGTTTATGTGTTATTTGAGATGAATACGGTTAGAAAGTGAAGGAAAAATCGAGGACAAGCTGTGCATGAGAGCTGGCCGAAACTGTCATGTGGTTATCTTGCTTGTATTTCAAAATTTTTTTGGTTGTTTGGCTGTGAAATTGAGTGATATATGTTGTATATTGTGTGTACAAGGTGTCTACCAAAAATCGTTTCCATTGGTTGCTCAAAACTAGGGTTTTCGAAATTGAAAGAAATCTGGAAATGGTAATCTGGGTAGCCGAACAGTAACTCTTTGTTTGAACGTATCTCTCTGTACAAAAGTCAAAATTGAGTGCCATTAGCGGCATTCAAAACTAGACATTCATATCTTTCCAATGGTATAAAATTACCCGCTAGTTCATTTTGAGTCATCCGTAGTGATTCGACAAAGTTGACTACCCTGTTGTGACTATCTGTCCGAGAGGAATGGAGAAGCTGCATCTTGTGGCTTGATTTTCTCTCACTTGTGAACTGATTTTGGAAATGACTCTTTCTGATGAAATGTAACATTTTGAACCTAGTTTCCAATGCCACCAACCATTCCCAATTTGAGTTTGTATTGACTGAGATGTGGTCTGATTTTGAAAGTGCAACAAAGCTGGAAAACTGGAAAGTTTTCCCCTTCTTGCTAGCCGAATAGTCAGAGTTGTTTTGGGATGTTTTGTTTCAAACATTTTGATGTCAATTGCTTATCAATTTCTTATTAAATGTTTATAGGACCTTGGTTTCAAAAATGGATCGAATTGGGGTTGATTTCATTGTGCCAAACTTTTGAAAAGGAAAGAAAGGGGTGAGTGACAGATTAGCCTTGAGAATTTCCTAAACTTTGGTAGTTTTGTTAACTACGCTTCCCACATGATTTTTTGTGTAAAATTTAATAGAGAGGTATTCCACATATGGAAGTTTAAGTGTACCAAATTTGGTGTAATTTTAAGGCCATTTCGATATCCAAATGATGCCCCAAAGATTGCTTTTCAAATCTGGAAATTCACTGTTCTAGTAGTGAAAATTAACCGACTTTGAACTGCTATATCTTGATACTCAAAACTCTGAATTTAGTTCTGTTTACCGTTTTTGAAACCTTGTTTGGAGCTCTTATTGTGCTATGAATTTCAAGTGGCTGATTCACTTTTGTGAATTATGCCGAATTTCCAAAGATTGCTGGAAAACCAAGACTGGTTCAAACCTGTCCTATTGGAACTGAAACTTTGAGTGGAAAAATGAGTGCTTTCCATGTAGAATCTTGAAAAGTGTCTTCTAGGAACTTTAAGTACTCGAACCTAGTTTTCAATGGTGTAGAGTTTTCCATTTTTACACGTGCTAAACTCAAGATTTAATTTTTCCAACTTTATCGTGCAAAGTTGAAAATTCATGATTTCTTAGGGAATCTAATTTTTGAGAACTTGTCACCCTCTCTCAGTATTGATAAACTGTTTTAAACCCGATTTCACGGAAGAGGCAAGTTTCTCTTGAGACTTTGAGTCTCAGTTTTGAATCTCGATTTTGAACAATTAAAGTTCACTTTTAAGACATTGACTTATTCTAAACTCGTGTACATTCTTTCTTGATTGATGCATGGTTATGAGTAAAAGTCGTTATTTGCTCAGGTGCTCAAGGGGATCTTCAAGAGAATCTCGAAGTGGACAGCTAAAAGCTTGCTTACTCACTTTTTGACTTGGTGAGTGTCAAGTGTATGAAGTGTTGCTACGTGCTTAATTGTTCTCATTAATTGAATGTTTTGAAAGTGTCGAGTCGAGTGTGTACTTTATCGCACTCGCTCTCTCTTAAGTGAATTAATTTGAATTGTATGAAGTGAATTGCTAAGTGAATAAAGTGAAGTGTTACAATAGTGAATTATATTATGGTGGAATCAATGTCGATTGGAGTGAATCTCCTCGACTTAAATTTATAATAGTGGGGGATGCCCAAACTTATCGGCTGACCTTACGACTCGAGCCGGTATGGGTTTGGTCGTGAACCTTGATAAGCCATGAGAAAATTGTATAAGCTTGATCTATTGGAGAGATCTCGATTGGCATACTCGAGTAGTATCGCCTTATATAAAAGAAGTACGGGCCCGAAGCAGGGGTTGTAACAGTTGATGGAGTATCAACTCGTGGAGATATTGGATCGAGCATCGGCAGAGCAAGTGGAATATAGCTCCTGAGAGCTCCCGTATCCTTATCAAGTGTGTTTTATTGTTAATTGCGAACTACTTGAATGTTATAGCTTTAATTCTCGTATCAGTGCTATTGTTATTTGACTATGTGTTTTGCATGCTTTTCTTGGTCTCACTGAGCATTAACTCATCCCATTAGATTTGTTTTCCTTAACAGAAGTCAAAATAGAAGGAATTATGGAGAAGCCGACTTGATGCGCTTTTGATTAGGGTTTTGAATGTAATTGATTAGATGACTTTTGAAAGTTGTATATTTTGGGGAAAGTAATGTAGTTGGTATCTTGAAATGTAAGAATTGAATACTTATTAAAGAAGCACCCTTTTCTTTGTAGTTTCGACTCTTATTGTTGAATGTTATCCATAAGTTTGAATTGTCTCGTAGTGAGTCCTGGCGAGAGTTGGGCAGACGTTCCGCCGATACCCTTTGGTTCGTTTTAGGGAGAAATGGGGGTCACATCTTTAGAAGGGATAGTTCTTCGCCAATCCATGCTGGTATAATGCCCTCCAACTCATTGTTTCCAAGATCAAGATACTGCAAATTTTTCAGATGTCTGCACGAGAATGGGACCATCCTGTAAATTTGTTTCGGTTCAAGTGCAAAGATTGGAGATCATTGTGATGTCCCAATGAAATTGGAATGTGCCCGTAGAGACTGTTGTTTGCTAGATTTAGCACACCCAACGTTTTAAGCTTACCAATGTATGAAGGGATCCTTCCGGAGAGCTGGTTGTTAGAAAGATCCAGGAGAACAAGCATTTGTAAGCTGCACAAAGAATCAGGGATGCTGCCGTTGAAGTGGTTATCACTGAGATCATCTATTCAAAGAATATCCAATGTCTTGTTAATGTCGGGCTGTGGATTAATCCCTTGCAATGAGTTATTTTTAAGATGCAATTCAGAAATGCCTGTTGGTAAGAATTGCAAAGGCCCTCAAATTTGTTGAACTCCGAAGAAAATACTTTGCGATATTTGGGATAGTTGGAGAAATCCAAATTTTATATCATGAACACTCTCTCAAGCCAATCTGGGATAGTATCTGAGATGCTTGCATTTTATATGTCTAGATTTCGACTGTTTTCTGAGTTTGAACCAGATTGGAAATTTGGACCCTATCTTGATGGAACCCATTCCCATAGATTGAAGTTGGAATGGTGGACCCATGAGGAACTCACATTCAGAGCAAGTAGAGTGGAGGATAAGCGTAATTCTTTCAGTTGTGGAGTTTGGCAAAGTGAATGTCACGCAACTCCTACTCAGTGGATTATAAGATGATCCAGGGATTTCAACTCACTCAGCCTCCAAAGAGAGGATGGAATGGTACCATTGAACCATTCGAATTGAGATCGAGTTCGGTGAGTTCTCGAAGTTGCCCAATCGTACTTGGGATTTTGTCTTCAAACTCGTTAGCTCCATCTGCTACGAGGACTGGAAAACTTATTTTATATTGTATCTTATTTTCTTGGATACATTTTCTTTTACTTTATTTTATTTGCCTTTATTTCTTTGGATACTTTATAAGTGAGACAAGATTTTATTATTTGTCTTCTATAAGTTAGTGCATTTATGAAAGTGGCACCCATAGTAAGTGTGCGTGATAAATTTGAAAGATTAGGAGGAGTTGGATGCAAAGGGATATTATTTATAAGGAGTCAAGAGATAATATAGAAGTTGGTTAGATATTCTAATACTT